GGTTCGAATTATCAGAATTAGACTGTATTAATTTTTAGTCTATGAAAATAATTAAATATGGCAGTTGATTCAGAAGTCAGATATAATGATGCCGAATTTAACTTCGTTTGTTGTAAATATTCCCAGTCTCTTGAAAAAATTGTTATCCAAAATGGATAAGGGTTTCTATAATTAATACATTATATTCGGCACATGTGAAATGCGACTTCAAAATCAAATGTTGAACCTAAGTTGAATTTTTTACTGTTTCAGTTGCAGATTCGGCAAAGTCGTATTTAATTTCAAACTGTCAAATTTAGTTGATTCAGACGTCACATCTCAAAGAAGTTCACTCTCGAATTAAATTAGGCACATGTGAAATTTAACGATTGACCTGGGTAATGATAACGGTGTCCAGTATTACTAAAAATAACAATAGAGATGCTGTGATACATACAGCATTTCTTATATTCCTGCAAACTTTGCTTTCAATTTACCACATTATGTTACTAGCTATATGCACCACACAGGTAAAAAAGAGAGTAAAAAAGAAAAATAAAAAAAAAAGGTTACGAAAAATTTGCTTCAAGGGGATTCAAACCCGGACCCTCTGAATCAGTTACAACTAAAAACTAACGCTTCTATCCACTGGACTTCCTCGGTAAGTGCTGACGATTCCAGTTTAAAAGAGGTATATGTTCCTTCTCTATGATGATCAACAGTTTTTAAGATGACTTTTTTGGTTTCCATGTAGAATATTAAATCTTTAACTGATTGAAGCCAAACATAAAGCTGACAATAAACCCATTAATACTCTTTAACGCTTGGTCCATGCCGGGGAACATTTAAGAAAGTTACAATCTATCCATCGCAGGGCTATCGACTGAACAGCATGACCGTCGATTCTCTCCCTGCTCGTAAGGTGTCTTTTCATCGGTTGGGGAAAACATTAACACAACATTGTTTATCATTATTTCCATTGTTTTAGGTTAGGGTAGCAAACCACTTCGCTTTTAGGGTTAGAAGAGCTGTTACATGATCTCTGTCCTCGGAATGAAGAAAAACAACATGGCTGCCAAATATACCCTTTTAGCTTTGAAAGTTCCCCTTTATTAACAAACATTCAGTAAAAAAGGTCCAATTAAATTTCATCTTGTATTACTTGTATTACTCATTAACTAATTTCGGTACTGATTTCTTGAAATTGTCTACTACCTCTGTATGGAGCATTTTTGCTGCTGTGTTGAACTCATGAGCAGCATATAAAGACTGGCCACACCAAGGGGCATAAAACAGCACTGCAGAGACTCCATTTAGAACCAGTTTATCTCTAAATCTTTCCATAGAACCATCAAGAATTTCGACCACTTTACCATCACTTGGAAATAACTGGGGCATGTTGGGAAGGTGTGGAAGGTGAGCATCACCGCTAAACAAAAAAAGGACTTTAAAATGTGACTTTTCTTTGGTTGTTTTCAGCAAATAATTTGATACTCACGTATATGAACAAAGGATATATAAAACAAAGAATATAAATTATGGGAAGCAAAGGTTTAAGATAATGGTATTGAAACTTGGCTTCAATGTTGTTCATTAAATTAAATTAATAAATTAAGGCATTTTGTGGCAGCATTCTTGGCTGAATGGAACTGACTCAAGGTATGACTGAACCACATGTAACCCAGACTTTATGGAAGGTCATGCAAATTTAAATTCTATGAGAGAATGTAAGTAAATAAACAAAATCACAACTGTGCAACCAAAATAATAATTTGGGTACGTTTAAGGTGACACCAACTTATTTTTGAGCCAATTTTAGTAAATTTTTCTAATGTGCTCATGTCATGTCAGAAGTGGCTGGATAATTCTTAATTTTGGATATGTATAAGTTCAATTATTCTTATTCTTCTGAATAACTGAAGTTTATTTTAAAGTTTTGATTTCCCGATGCGAGCAAATTTTCCAGCTATGGTGTTTCGCAAATTGTCTTTCTGTTTGCACAAAAATCAAGCGATTTCCACGAAACTTAGAAAACCTGGACTTTAAAACTGTGTTTATTTCATGATCTATGATCTGTGCTACAAGATAGGTTTGAAAAATGACAAGGAAAACACAACATTAACTTGGCTTAGTAACCCTGTCATGAATCAAACACCAATTTAAACAATTTTGGAGGGAAGTTACGTTCAAATATAGATAAATATGACACATAAATTTTGGGCTTGTAGCTCTAATGCTGCTTGTGTGATTCCTCTTACAATGTGGGCACAGAAGGAAATTTACTTGGAAAATAATAAAGGCTGTGGCTATATGGCCGGTAACTGGTCAAGATTTTCAAAACACTAAATGACCGGCAAGTTAGCAATTTTGACAAATCGAAGAATCCCAGCCAGCCCAAACTATCATACAAGCTATACATTGATTCAGAATAGACGGAGAAACTTAGTATCTGATTAACAAATGCTGTCAAAGTGTAAGTCTCTTCCATTTTAAAAGAAAAAAAATTCACTCGCATATGAGCGGATTTGATCCCGCAGTATAGGGTCTACACTCTAAACACAAGACCACCATGGTTTCACTGCACTTGATGGTGATTTCATTCAAATATTGTGGTGAAAACTCCAAACCAAAATAGAGGATAACTGAAACCCTAATCACTTTTCTCAGGGCTTAACCCTGGTTAGTGCTTAACCCTAATTGGTATTTTCAGTTGTTAACCCTAATCAGTATCGTCGGTGCTTAACCCTAAATTATCACCATAGTCAAAATATCTGACTGCCGGTCACTTAGTGTTTTGTAAATCTTGACCGTTTGCCGGTCATATAGCCACAGTGAATAATATAACTGATTTATTTATAAAATATTGCATTTTGTGAACATATGCTCTCTAGAAAGATATAAAACGGCTGCTTACTACAGTAAGTCTATTTTTTTGACCAAATGCTATGCTATTTTGCTGGTCTTGAGCGTGTTCTGTTTTCCGAAAACCAACCCAAATATACAGAGGTTTCAAACTTTGCTTTCATTCTGCCTAGGCATCAACTATAATGAAATCATTATGAATGCCTTCGGTTCTCAATCGACAAGTGTCTGCTAACAGCAAAAGTACACAGCACGTGCAAAGTTGGTTGTTTGCTAATTAGACCTATTGTTTCTATACTTTAACGAGATTGCAAATTATTCAAATTGCAGTTGAAAATCAGTGTAAGAGGAAAGCACGTGGTAATCCACTGCACATTCTAAATCTCCCATTTCAGCATCACCACAATTCCTTGCGAGTCTACTGCGCTCCTAAATCTTCCATTCGCACATAACCACAATTCCTTGTGAGTCCACTGTGCATCCTAAATCTTTTATTTGGGGATAACCACAATTCCTTGCATCTGGCAAGAAAAAGTGATTGAATGCCCCTAAAATGTAATTTTTTGCCAATTAGAGAGCTGCCTCATTTGTTCGCTTCAGGCTCACTAACTGTGGCAGCAATAAAATGAAAACAAAAAGCGATAGGTAATCTGAAAAGAACAATTTTAAAGACTGAAAAGTTTATTTTGAAAGCGAATGGGTTTTTAAAAAGCAGTGAAGTTAGACCAAGAAGAAGATGAAGAAGACTGTTCGGCTGTGTAAATAGCAGGGTGCTGGCATGATGTTTTGGCACGCTTTGTCACGGTCAAATGTACCCAGGGATCCTCCCACCATGCTACTCACGATGCACTGTGCCCACTCCTGGATGGGGCAAATTGTCGCTGTGATGTAAGCTTTGAGTGACCATTGATTACATCACGTCAAGTAGCCCGGTCATACACATCGGAAGAAAGAAAACTCTGATGGAAAAATTATGAAACCAAGCACTTTGCAAGCAGTTTTGGTGAAATCTGAGACTCCACAAGCATAGAAGGGAAAGACAGATTATCGACAATCCTTTGACTGCAATTTTGGTGAGTTTGGACCATTTTTAAGGGATTTATGGAGCTTTGAGCTGGAACGGTTGGCTTCACACTCCACAGCCTTCCCTTATTTCTTCTCGTTAATACAACTCAAAATCTTAAAATTAATGTCAATAAAATGGCCTCCAAATGGCTCTACTGAGAAGTGAAGAGACAGAAAAAAAAAACAACACAAAAACACAGAGTGAGTAATTTTTATTTCTAATTTTGTCAAAAAATGGAATTTAGGATGTATTTTGTTTGTTTTCATACATTCTCTTAAAAATTCAAAGTCCCAAAGAACTCCCACAGAGTTTGGGCCAACTGTGCTGCAATCAGAATGATATACTTGACTACTAGTCAAGCACATATAAGGACTATTAAATCGATGCAAGATTTGTTTTACTCTTGGACAGTTTGCAAATTGTTTCTATAAAATCACTTACCCTTTCCCTCAAAAGTTACATGAACGTGCCCTAAAGTTTATTGTTTGATTTTCAGCCCTGGCTAAATCTATGCACTATTCCTTAAAGCTCGTGTCTAGATACCCGGCAGCCGGGAACTGCTTGCAAAAAACTAGAAACTCTATGCCCAAGCTCGACAGTCGCTTCTACTTGTAACATTAGGAAAAGAGACCTAACGTCACTCTTAAACGACAACAATAGCTGCTGCAACCTTTGTAATTCTTAGAGACTACCTTGTATATAACTATTGTTTTATTATACAATTTATACATGCCACATATTTTAATTGTATATACATTATTATTATTTCTTATTTGTAATTTTTATTTTTGTGTCCCCAATTAGTTGTGAAAACTAAATACATTGACTCATTAATAAAGCTCTTACTTACTTAATTACTTACTTAATACCAAGGCAATATTTATATTTGGTTGAGATTTCCAAACAAATATCTTATGTTCTTAGAGGAATTAAACGAGCTATTTCGAGAAAACTGGTCAAAATTTCTGACTGCCGGGTATCTAGTTTTTTGAAAACAGTTCCAGGCTGCTGCCGGGTATCTAGACACGTCGTTGTTTAAAAGCTCATCTACCTCATTACTTATACTTGCTAACTTGAGTCTTACCTGTCGGTGAACCATGTAGATCCGGAAAAAGACAGAAGAACCACTGTAAAAATGAGAAAGATGACATATTTGGAGAAAATCATAGCCAAAAGTTGTTCATATTGGCAAAGCATTAAACTTTTTAGGTCAATTGAAGCATGTGAAACATGCTACATGTATGCTGACTGTGTCCACAACCGCCATCTTGAATTATACCCTGTAGGACTGGGTACGGATATCGGGCAACCTCGTCCCCAGGATCTTCTCGCTTTCCAAAATGGCGGCCGCGGGAGAGAAGTAGATCCCAATAAAGGGGGAGGGGGGGTCCTCCTGGGGGGTTACTTTAGGACTTTTCGAGTGGGGATCTGCTGCTGGGACCCTGGAACCCTTAGCCTATACCATAGCTGTAGTTCAAGTGAATTTTGCTACCCTATACTAGACTAAACTCCCCAAATCCCCCCCTAACCTAGAGTAGCTGTTTTCGAGCAACAACTGAGGTCACTAGCACAGTCCAGGCATAACAAAACCGATTTGATTCTTTTATATTCTTGAGTGGCAATTCCCAGTTTCCCTAGTCTAGACTAAAATCTTCAGCCAATAGAGTACCGAAGTGATGACGTCATAAAAATGAAATTTGTGAAATTATGGGATTTGTTAAGATATTCTGAAAGAACAACGTCCAAGACGCCTACTGGCCAAAAATTAGCAATTCGGGGCAAATTGTCTCTGAGATATTAGCCCAGCTATGCTGTGACGATTCCATACTTGGCTTGGTTCATAAGATTAGGAACCAGGTAAGATTTAGAAGGATTTGTATAGAGTCATCGGAGCATAACTGGGCTAATATGTTAGAGACAATCTGCCCCAAATTGCCAATTTTTGGCGAGTAGGCGTCTTGGACGTTGTTCTTTCAGAATATCTTAACAAATCCCATAACTTCACAAACTTCATTTTCTATGACGTCACACTTCGGTACTCAATTGAAAAATGATACCCTCTTCTAGACCCAAACTCTCTGATTTATATACCCTATCCCAGAGTAAACTGCTTGAAGACCATACCCTTCACAGCGGCACATACCTATATAGCCCATATATGGCAGTACCCCCCGGGGGGGTTCCTGCGTAGCGTTTGTGTGTGTTAAAAGTGGGAAGGTGGTCTCTGTTTTTCTTCCGCTCGGAGATGTGCTCTTGTAATTAAGTCATGGGGGTAGCCTCGTGCAGCAAAAAAAGCCTCCATGGTTGTGCCCTCATTTTGAAAAACGTCGTCCTCACTGCAGATCTTTCGCAGCCGTAGAAACTGATTATATGGTATGGACGATTTACACTTGGATGGATGTGACGACCCGAAGTTCAGATATGAATGGCTGTTAGTGTCTTTATAATTAATAGATGTCAATATGCGGTTCTCACGGGGTGTCATACAAATGTCTAGGAACGGGAGTTTGTCAGATGAGATAGACCAATTATAGACAAGCTTAGGATGGTACTTTAGCCTGCATGACAGGCGCTTTATGAGCCAAGCGGGGCGAACGCGGAATCCCCACTGGATCTTGTTCACTGCCCGAGGCTACGCCCGCTACGTTGTCCATATATCTCTTATACAAATCAGGTTTCCTACCAGTCACGGTGTACTCGGCTAGCATCCTCTCTTCGGCATAGCCAACAAAGAGACGTGCGTAGTTTGGCCCTAATCTGCTACCCATTGCCACGCTGCCTACTTGCGTGTAATATTCGCCATTAAACTGAAAAGTGCGGAGGGTCACCAACTCAGCCATGCGAACAAGAGTATCAGTTGGTGGATCTTTGACCTCCCTCTTGTCTAGGAAATATTTCAGCGACACCAGACCTTCATCATTGGGGAATGACTGTATACGGTGATTTGATATCCATTGTGAACACCAAACGCTGCCCCCCGTCAGTGCTGAAACGAAAAGAGTCTAGTATGTTTAGCATGTGGGTGGCGTCTTTCACGTAACTCCCCAGGCCGCGAACGAAGGGAGCTGTTACCTTGTCGAGACACAAAGCTAATTTCTCTGTAGGACATGAGCAAGCGGAAACAATTGGCCGCCCATGGTTGCCAGGTTTGTGTATCTTAGGCAACAAATAAAACTTAGAAGTACGAGGACATTCAACAAGAAGGTTAGTTGCTGATGGTATCTCTCTGTAAACCTTTATATAGAGAGAAAACCGTTTACATAAAAACCCATAAAACGGCGACAAATCGGCCCGTGGACCACACAGGAGAGACGTAACACACATTTTAAGTAAGGTAAGCTGTTTTTCTTCTAAATTCTTTTATTTTCGTAGGTTACAGAAATGATAGGCTTTTTCCCATACAAATCCTTATATTTCGAAAGTTACGCAACAATGCTGATGTTCGCCGATGCTCATATTGCGAGCTTGGGCTACCTGTGTTCAACCCCAAAAGAAATGATAGGTGACGTCATATCACATGACAAATGAGTATGACGTCATTTGTGGGAAAAATGCTCGTTGATTCCGATCGACGATGATATAGCACATAAACC